ACCCTTTTCATATTTTTGTTCTATTTAAAAATAACTGCTATGGAGGGTTTAGATGTCGAGAAAGTCATATAAAGTCTTTTTTTTTTTTGAGAGCCAGTTAGTGATCTTTAGATGAGCTTCTCTGGCGCCTGCTTAACCAGTTTACGAGTTCACACGTTCATTCACTCAAACCAGTTAAAGTTTTGCTCATTTGCTTTCCATGACTAAAACCTACTGGCTATAAATGGTTATATTCAAAGGGGATGCTTCATCTTTTCCAGACCCACATTTCGTCCTTTGTTTTTGTAAACAGGAATATTTGACCTTGATTTAACCCAAATGGCGCATAATCACCTAAAATTGTGTCTTTTGTAATTAGTAGCAAAAAAGCTTTAAAAGGGTCTTTTCTCTTTTAATAAGAATCTGGTCTAAAGAAATGCATCAACTAAAATGTGGGCCATTGCACACTGCAAAATTAACATAGGCCTACACTTCATAGGCTATATTTATTAAATTTATTTTGCATGGAATTTTACTTTTAGGCTAATTTTAACTCGCATAAATAACATTTCATTTGAACGATCACCAATGAATAGCCTATTGTAACGCTTATTAAAATGTTGAAATGCACCTTTTTTTTTTTCTCCTGCTAAACAGTTTAGTGAAAATTCATTGAAATGTCGCGTTAGTCCTGACACATTTCCCCTGAAGGTCCCGAGGTTCCTCAACCTTTATAATCCCGGAGTTGGTGGTTCGTGCCACGTGGTTCTCCAATCCCGTATAAAAACTTTCCAGAGGCTCAAAAGCGGCACAATGTCTGTTCGCACGAGAAACGAGCCGAACACACACACACACACACACCGAGAGCTATGATGAAGAAGTATATTGGAAACGTACACTGGAAGTCAAAATGCCCAACAAAGAAGGACACGATCTTCATCTGAAGAACTAAAAAGGCGAATGATTATTTGGAAATACCGTGGACTCTTTCTTTGACTGGTTTACACTCGCTTCCCTTCACCATGGATGATTTGAACTCAATAGCGTGAAGAAATCACCGGGACAAATCATAACAGGTCCTTTGTTTAGTCTGTGGGGTTTTACACGCGTAATGCTGAGATTTCCAGTCATGCCATGACGCATCAGACGCGTGCGTAAAAGTGCCATTCGCGGCTGTACGTGGACAGATATCAAGAGCTCTGGTTACTTTATTATTTACACATCTCACATTTATCAACTTTGAGAAATTCTGATGGTGTGACGAGCCGTTCTCACTGTGAGATTGATCCGAATTGTGTTGAAATCATTGGCGGAGTGACCGAAGAATCAACCGCAGGAACATAGTCCAGACGTTTACAGGATTTATTGCGTTTGCGTTTAATTCGGATCGAACCGGATCTCCTTTAAGAGTGGATTTAACACTTTTAAGTCTCACTTTTTTGGGAGAAAAGAAGGCGGATACGAACTTGGCCGCAGTCATCTCCATCAGCCCTGCTCTCGTATCATCAACCCTGTTCTGTTTATTATCACGGAAGATGAAAAGCTTAATATTTGAAGTGCTTTGTTTTGTGTCCATCCTCGTCTCCATCCGCTGCACACCGGCACCGGACACCGAAACCCCGAGCATCAGCCCGAGCTGCGCGTCCTGTGGGCTCAGCCAGACGGATGGAGGCACTCTGGTGGATGTGGATTTGTTGGAGGCGGTGAAGAGACACATTCTGAGCCGGTTACAGATGCGGGACAGACCCAACATCACCCACCCCATCCCGAAGGCGGCGATGGTGACCGCGCTCAAGAAGCTCCACGCCGGGAAGGTGCGTGAGGACGGGAGGGTGGAGATCCCAAACCTGGATGGACACGCCGCGTCCGTGAACGAGGTGGAGGAGGAGACTTCGGAGATCATCAGCTTCGCCGAGACAGGTGTGTATAAGATGGGTCTGCGTGTGGCCGGTTACGCACAGGTAGCCTATGTTTCCATTACCCTGTTTTTATGCGCATTTTGAAGTATCGCATCAGAAACGAGTGATGGAAACGCCAAATTTCGAATAAAAAATCCCTTAAATTGCAAAAAAAAAAAAAAAAAAAAAGTTTTTACGCTCGCTTGAGGTGGTTTTTGACTTGTGCGAAAAATGGTTAATGCGAACAATGGGAGATGGAAACGCATTCGCCGAGTCAATTCCTCCATGCGCATCAAAAAAGGCATGTGACTTTGCGCTATGGGACGGCAAAACCTGACTAACCAGCGGACCGATCTTGTTCCACAGCATCTGAAATATTGTTATGGTCATTTTGAAATGCCTGAACAAAGTCCGTCATCAAAGTATCTCTGTATAATTGCCTCCCAGAACCCTTAATTAAAGTATCAAAAAGAGCATTTAAAGTCACCAGGGTTCAGGAATTGCGCAGAAAACTCATGCATCCACAAACCTGTTAAAGAATCAAACTAAAGCCACTTGCTGCTTATAAATCAACAAATTCTAGAATCTGCTCTCAACTGATCAAAATGCATCAGTGATCTATTATCTGACAGCAGTGAATCATGAAAACAGGTACAGCTCAACTTTCAGTTGCTGTTATTGTCCAAATGGCAGATTACAATGTTTCCTTTCACTTTTAGTGTTTCTCACTCCAGGCCCTATAATACTGATCTGATGAGTGAATCTGGTAAGAGCAGGACTGAGAAACACTAAAAGTGAGATAAATGCTGTTAAAGGAATAATTGATCCAAAAATAAAAACATTTGCTGAAAATGTCCTCACCCTCAGGCCATCCTCATCAGGTTTGGAGAAATGCAGCATTGCATCAGTGTCTCAGCAATGGATGCTCTGCAGTGAATGGGTGCCGTCAGAATGAGAGTCCAAACAGCTGATAAAAACATCACAATAATCCACAAGTAATCCACAGCACTCCAGTCCATCAGTTAACATCTGGAGAAGACAAAAGCTGAAACAAATCCATCATTAACGTTTTCCATCATAAAGTCCATCATTCATATTAACGCTTTCTCCATTGAAAAATTGCTCTGGTCTGAATCAGGAGAGAAATCTGCACAGATCAAGCAGCGTTTACAAACTAAAACAGTCCAAAACAGCTCTAAACAAATATGTGGCTGGAGATGGACTTTTTCATTGAAGGAAGCGTTATTATGAATTATGGACTTTTGGACTTAAATTATGGACTTTGAAGTTAAAAATGTCTTAATGATGGATTTGTTTCTTACAAACACGCAGCTTTTGTCTTCTCCAGATGTTAACTGATGGACTGGAGTGCTGTGGATTACTTGTGGATTATTGTGATGTTTTTATCAGCTTTTTGGACTCTCATTCTGACGGCACCCATTCACTGCAGAGCATCCATTGCTGAGACACTGATGCAATGCTACATTTCTCCAAATCTGATGAAGAAACCTTTTCGGCAAACTATCATTTTTGGGTGAACTATGCCTTTAAAGTTACTGGATTACAACTGAACAAACAATCTTCCCACAGTGCCTTATGATCATATTTCATGCGTATTCACGAGTGCACATCTTTTACAAAGACAAAAGATGTTTGTCTTCATAATGTTTCAACAAAATGCAATAACTTCTGAAAAGTCTTTTCATTGCAGTTGACGTCAAATAGCTACGTAGTAATCTAATATCAGTTAATGCAATAAAGGTAGCATCAATAAAATCAAATAATGATATTTTTCATGAAGAAAGTCAGGATTGGGATACATAAAGCTGCTTTAGAGAGTCAACTTGACCTTTGGCATCAAAAATCCTCCTCAGAAGTGTCGTGAGTTCATGTAGATCCACAGCAAACTCACATTCAGATGTGCCACCATCAATTTCCACTGGAAACAATCACGTCCCATGCTGCATTTTTCCCTCTTGAATATCCTGTTACATTCAAAAATCTGTCACATTATGCAAGTAAAATGGGATGCAAAGAGCGTTTCATGTTGACTTCACGAGCAGAATTGAGTTTTTTCAGCTTTAGCTTTTCAGTGTATTGAATTTGCTAAACAAATTGAGCAGCATGCAGCAAGAGTTCAAGGTTAAAATAACTTCGGAAGCAAAGAGCTCACGCTTGCACTCAAAAACAACGAATGAATCTTTGCTTAGTAAAGCACATATTTATAAACGTCACAGCACGCAGGATTGAATCTTACCAACGCACCGCGGGTCCGGTCGCGAACGCTGCCCTGTGAAGTCCACAAGATTTCAAGCACCATTTAGGACAAGGCCGCAATTATCCGAACCCAGCGCAGATCTGGACCTTTGACCCTTTGTGCTGTGCTGCTCTGCAGCTGCCAAGATGAGATCCAGGAGCTGTTTACTGAAATGATGGAGATGTTACATGAGCAGCGGATCACATACGGCTGCCCTGCCATTCCTGATCGCGTCTGGTTAACCGGTCCATATACGGCCTGCTATTGTCCAGTGCTTTCACAATAGACACATGTTACTGTGGCAGGTTACTGGATGCAACATATTTTTGTTTCGCAGATTTGCTGCTAAAATTAAGTTTTATAGTCACTATGTTGAGGCCTTTGCTTGAAAGAATCGGAGTTTTCAACATGTTTTACTTCCATAATGTGACATATATTTAAAAATGAAACCGACATAAACGTAAAATAACGAATGCTTTAAAACATGATTTCATTCACTGACAAGATTGATGACGTCAACTGAAAAGTAAAGTCATTTTAGAGGTAGAAACTTGTACTATATTGTAATGAAAAGATTATAAAGACTATTTTTTTAGAATAACATGCACTGATGAATCATTCACAGTAAGACCAGGAATAATAATAATAGCAATAATAATAATTATAATTTTCATTTAAAATATTATATAATGCATAATGCTTACTTAATGCTTAATCTTTAAATAATAGAAAATTTTAAAACATTAAAAATAAACAAAAATGACAATTAAATAAATGAAAAAATAAAACAAGTAATAATAATAATAATAATAATAACAACAAAATGCAGCTCAAAGTTATCTACGGGTCAGAATATAAAAACAGAATTATTATAAAATAAAAAACATAAGTAAATGAAAAAGGAAGGTAAAAAAATAAGGAAATTATAAGAATTATTAAGAAATTATAATAATAAGTATGCAAATGTTACATATATTGTAAAATCCAGCTCAAAGTGTTTCGCAGCTCAGAATATAAAAATAGAAATATATTATAAATAAAAATAAATAAATAAAGGTAAAACAGAGAGGTTGCAATTTATAATAACTTTCATTAGTATGTCATTAAAAACATTACATAACGCATAATGCTAGCTTAATACTTCATCTATAAATAATAGAAAATAAAAAAATTAAATACAATTGAAAAAGAAAGCTAAAACAAGGAAATAATAATAATAATAATACAATTCTGTAAATATATATAAATAGTAGTAGTAAAATAAATAAATACAATTTTTAGAGACTTAAATATCATATTCAAAATCCAACTTAAATAAAAATAAATATCATTTCTAAATCCAGAACCTTCTTTTTCAAAAAAATGCATACATGTATGATATTGAATTTATGCACAGTAGCAAGTCAGAAAGCAGTTTTATGGTAAAGGCTTGCAGTGGCAGTGATCTGATGAAGCCGTCTCATTAGGATGCGGGGTGACCTCAGGACACGGAGCTCTGGAAGACGTCCAGGATCTTCATGAGGATCTCGTTTTCTGTAAGAATGGTGCTGCCCTGCGCTGGCAGAGGCCAAGTGAGTCCCTTTAGGCTTCTGTGACATCTTAATGGTGTGTGGAGACTCAGGTGAGGACGGCTGCCAAGAGGGAGAATTCGCTCGCGCTGTCTATTACAGCCAGTGATGAATGTGCTCCGCGCTTTGCAAAAGGCCTGAATCGAAGCGGGAAGCCGTCCAACCTGTAATCATGCGTCGCCCCACGTCACCGCTTGTTTTTAGCTGCGCTTCTACGCTTTGATTTGGCCAGCTGGAAGCGGCGCTGACAGTAAACACCATCCCTCCTGTGTTCAGTCGTGTTCAGGCATCACTAGTGCTCATACTGCAGGCTAGTGATCTGAACAAACACTTAACACAGAGTAACTAGCGCTGTTTGTCAAACAAACCTCAGTGATGTCTGAAAATCACCGGGTTAGTTAAGCAGATGTGTGCTAATCGGTGTTGGTATTGTTAACTAATGCTATTGAAAATTGTTTTTGGCAACTGAAATCATGTTGATATACAATTATAATATACTAAAATAAATAATATAAAATAAAATACTAGATTAAAAACAAAATTTGGTAAGTAACTGAAATTAAGTTTAAATTGAAGTACTAAATTGCTAAAAAAAAAATAACTACAACTAAAATAAAGTAAATTAAAACAAACTGTTTTTGATAAGTGAAATACAGGTTATATAAAACATAATATAATAAAATATTAGAAAAAAAATTAAAATGAAGGAATGTTGCCTTGGCAACTAACTAAAATAAATCAGTTTAAACTGAACTACTAAAATGACTCAAATTGAAATAGATGCAAATTAGAACTATTTTTTGGTAACTGAAATAAAGCTAATATAAATAATATATATATATATATATATATATATATATATATATATATA